TAATATTTATTGCTAGATAAAATTACACTTTTTATGTGCCTTTTCCCCCTTCTGTTCCAATTCCTTAGGTTTGAAGTTATCATTTTAACTACATAGTCAGGCTGTAGACAAATAAAAGACAGCAGACAAATAAAACTATAAATGTATAAATAAAATTATATTTGAAATGATTTCAATACTGAAGAGTATTAATAAAATTGTTCAGATTTACTTAAAGGAAGAGGAATGTATTTCTAGCAGCATGCGAATGTTAAAATCTACTAAAATAAATTCCCTCCTGTGTGCTTTGCACTTCTTATATGATGCATAGAGTAGCTGCCTGTGTAGAGTGTTCCAAAATCACGTCCAAAGTCCCGTTTGAGGTTACATGGAAGCTATGTAGGCAGCTCACTAGATTTTAGAACGGATCTACTGTTAATGACCTGCGTGATAAGCAGACTGAATTCTGCTCTGTAATAACGTGACCTGGATCAGACATTCGCTGTATCCGGGTGTGTGTGTCCTCTAACAACACATCTCTCCACACCATCAGCTTAACCACTCAATTACAGTATCTTCTTACATCATTACCCATACTGCACTGCTCCGTGCCTGCCTATGCCTTCAAATCCTGTTTATTCATCTCAGGGAATCAGATGGTGATGAAAGCATGAGAGAACAGCTGACACTTGTGGCTTTCTGGCCTTTTGCGAGGCCAGTGTTCACAGCAGGTGTCCTCTGCATCAACCAAATCACTAGATAAACAAGTCTACATAAACTGCGACGGTGAGTGAAGACAGACACAACGACCTCAGAGACCTCTGTTTATATAAACATGCAAATAAAAAGGAGGTGAAAGGGAGAACAGTGTCCAGTTTGGGAAGTTTGAGGGGCACGAAAGACCCAAAAATTGATCTCATTGAACAATGAGGCTATTAAACATTATAATTACATCTGAATTATATGCATTAAATTCCACTGTGTAGGTAGAAATCTATAGACAGCTCTATAAAAAGTATATTTTAGTACAATAGAGCGACAGGAGCCCTGTTTTGCTACAGTATTGGCGTTTGTAAATGACGCAGCGCGGCATAACTCCCATCGAAGGGCCCCACATCCTGAATGCCTGTTGACTTTACAAACCATTTCTGTCCAAATAGCCGAATCTTTCACCAAAGCCACATGGACAAGAGCTATTAAGCATGGGATATGCACACATCAAACATGTTCAGTTTTTCACTGAGTGAAGTATCTCGATAATTTGAAGAATCTACATTGCCGCCAGTTGCCGCACTGGAGATTGCGGCAACTGGTAATGACGAAAAGAGGTTTGCTCACGAAAATACACATTAGTGCAATTAAAGCCATAGAATGTGTGTGTGTCAGATTGATTTTTAGCATTTTTGTTGCCAAATCTCACTAATTAGCTTTCATTTTATAAGTTATACAATGTGAAACATTGTGTATTTATGTTTTATGGGTGAATCTCAAAATAGAAATGTAAGGTCATATTTCACCCTAAAATTAAAAATTCATACATGTCCTATTTTTGTATTATATTTTATTAATATAATATAATATAATATAATAATGTAATTTTTTTGCATTATAAGAACATTATGTGAGACTAAGCCTTGGTATTTATTATTTATTTATTAATTATGCTTCAAATTTTTATGACATGACATAATGATTTTCGAGCGTTAATCCTCTCTGAGGAGTTGGATTCCTCGCTCCATGGGCTGCTTAGGACCAGCACATGACCAGCTAAGGACCAGCTTAAACCAGCATCCAAGCTTCAAAACCTACCTAACCAGCATATGCTGGTTTTAAAACAACAGCTGGTTTCTATGTATTCCAGACTGAGGTGAGACCACAGGAGCTCAATGGCCTTTCAGTGAAAACACACACCATGATTGTGTCTTAATCAAGTCACACTCTCGGATCAGGTCGAGATCTGGTTCAATCTCTCATTTCCTGTGTATCAATCAGAGGTGTCCCTCAGGCTCTGCTACTCTTAGTTCTGGTTCACGTGATCTCCTGCAGCAATCAGGAGTCCCAGAAGAGCCAATCAGAGGCAGCGTGATGGACTCTCAGAGGTGTTTATATACCTGATTAAAGTGTGTATTGTGTGTGTCTGGAGGGCTGCTCGGGGACATCATCTGACACTTGTGAAAGACTAGTGGCCCTCCAGAGCCAAAGAAAAAAAAGTATGTTTTGAATTTGTAGTGATCC